CAGATGGAATTATCTCAACTAGGAAAAGCATGCTGTGAAGTAAACATCCTTTTGGGGGTCCCAAAATACTACTGAACTCTTTGAGGTACAAGTCTCTGTGACTAGAGATTTTGCAGTTTGGAACTTCTGACAAAGTCAGGCAGCTTCCACTAGGATGTGCTGCTTGGGGATGTGGACCCCACTGCCCCGATACAGCAACCAGGTATTTCCTGAAAATCAGCTGTTAGCTTGCTTTTAGTTCTTACTGAAACTGGACACCTGACTCATGGAGCCCTTGTGATTCTCTGGCCTTTATGTCCATTTGGGGAGGGAGGGTCAATTTGGACTCAATGATTAACAAGGTAGGACAATTTAAACAGAGCTCATTAATCCAATGGAAATTTATATGCAAGAAAGTGGTCAGCCTGTCCCCAGTGCATTCTCAGCTTCACCCAAAAAATGTAGCAGTTGCCCTCTCCTGCCCAATTCACTTCCAGAAACAAAGGTACTCGCGCAATGGGGCCCTTCTGTTCACAGTGCTTTCCCTAACACTTGGGCCTGGTTGGATGATGTGTCGGCCAAGCTGAAACCTGACAATGTCCACTGGGCTGCTGTAGTTGTACAACCTCTGCAGCAGCTGTGCAGAACTAAAACGTATGTGATCGCTGCATTCACTCAGCAGAACTCTGGACCGTTTCCATATTGTTACTGGCTCTTGGGTTATAGTCAATGACCTAGCTTATCTGCCACTTTGAAAACTACCAACTGACAGATTAAGACACCTTTGGGGGAGGGGCTGTGAATTGTGGCAATGATACATGACTGCTGATTCAGTCATCTGAGGCCCACTAGAATCAAACTACCAATTAAGTTTTCATCACCTGGATGACACCATTGCTGCTTGGCAAACTAGAGGACTGATTATGGCAGCATATCCTCTGTCATAAAATAGGCACAAAGTAAACCTAGGTTTCTGCTGCAGCAGTCACTACTGCAAAGGATTCACTTAGCTGCTTGGCTCCAGGACCCTTGGGAGGAGGGGGCATGGCTGAAGTCAGTACTGAAGGTTGGCCTTGTTTTGCTAGTTGGGGTTCTAGTAGCCTTAATTAAATATTTTATGCGATAAATTGAATAGATTTGGTCCCAGCCTTTGTTTGTTAAAGTAATCAGAGGGACCAACAGAGTGGGTTGCTATCAGGAAAACTTGCCATACACAAAGATTGTGTAAAAATGAGAAGTAGATATTAATGGAAAATAGTTCTTCATGGGTGTCTTGAATTTCTGCATTTCCTGCAAGTAGAGGCACAATTGCCTTTCTCCCAGACTGTCTTTTCAAGAATTGTGTATAGGGAACAGCTCTGAATGATAGAAATATCCTTCTGGAGCAAAGGGTAAATGTGTTTAAAACCTTGGATAATAGAGATAGTGTCTTCCTTTGAATAAAAAAGCAGGAATGCTCATGGTCAGGCACGACAGACATAATGTCCATCCCCATTGCCAAGGGAAGACATTCATACTGTACATTACTAAAGATTCCAGTTGTCTGGACTTGGGGTTCCTTTCCTGTAATGCAACTGATTGCCTGTGTGAGTATCATATGGTCCACTTTGCTTTTCTCTATCAGAGTTGGGGCTTGGGGAATGAGCAAATGCTGCTCCTCTAGCTAATGCTATTTGCTGTGAGTAGTAAGTTTTTTTTTCTTCTCTGACCCAGGAGTCTGTGCCCTCTGTCAGCAGTCATGGCAAGCTCACTTGTTAGCTTGCATGTAGAGCAAAATTTCAGACAATTAACTCTTCACAATTAGATGCTATAAGAGATACTCTGTGGTCTGAAATAGCTGACATTTATTTTTGTCCAAACAAAGTACAAAATTATTTCTTCTTGGCATGGAATTCTTATTTAAGCAGTGATTCAGGGATGTAGGCTCCTTCAATTTGGAGAGTCTTTATTAGCTCCCAAGGTTTCCATACTCATCTGCATCAAGCTGGCTGGAAGGAAAAGAACATGGAGAAATGTGCATGGGATATTTTCATGAGCCAAGCTTAGAAGTGGTAGATATCATTCACCTTCATTTTCATTGACTGAAACTTGTTCAAACATTACTCTTAGATAGGGGAGAAACACGGTCCTGTCCTGTGTCCCCGAAGAAGAGAAATAAGTTCTGTGGAAAGTCTTTTCCACAGATGGAATGTATTTCCAAGCAATAGACATGAAAGTGAGCAAGACGTGTCTTTAGCATGGCTAAAATCATAGGCTGTGTGAAGTAGAGTGTAGTAGAAGAGGAAAGGCTTGTCATGAATCACCTTTTACCTTAGGTTAATCTCTCTGAGGGTGTCTGGCAAATGCTCAATGATTTTAGTCGTGGAATAACAAGATTTAGGGAGAATGCTTAGGAAGCTATAGCAACACACAGGGTGAAAAAAAAGTGACAATTTTAATGAAGCAAGTGACAGAAAAGATTCACTAATATAATGACAAGTAATTATTGAGCACACTCTGGGGCCATGCATGGTGATGGGTATTTTTCAAAATAGAGCCAGTAGCAAATGGCCCAGTGAGACACCAGTAGTAAGAAAGAAAGGAAAGAAGAGCATGTGGTTGGAGAATGTCTGTGGAGAGGCATGAAGTGGGAAAATAATTGGATCTACTTTCAGTCATTGATTCTATGCTTATACACCATGTGGGTGGATATACACAGGAGGCATTCTTTGTGTGTAGCTAAAGCTCAGGAGAAAAGTCAGTACAGGGCTGGCAATGCCCAGGAAGAGACTAAAGATCACCAAGGGTGGGGCGGGGGGGCTCTCACATCATACATTTTCAGTAAGTGTTATTTATTTATTTATCTTTATTGATTTTAGAGAAAGAGGAAGGGAGAGGGAGAGAGAGAAACATTGATGAAAGAGGACATCAATTGGCTGCTTCCTGCAAGTCCCCCACTGGGGATTTGGCTCACAACCCGGGCATGTGCCCTGACCAGAAATTGAACTGGCAACCTCTTGGTGCGTGGGTTGATGCTCAACCACTGAGCCACACCGGCCAGGCTGTGTTATTTATTTGCTGTTAAAAGGGGGAACCTGCTACTCTTTGAAATACTGAATGCATTCTAATTTTTTAGATATTCTGGTAGAGTTAGTATATATCCATGCCTGGAAAGATATAATAGTAGTGGTAGATTCAAGAAGAAATTTAACATTAACTGATAATATATTCTGCTTTGACTGAAATGCCTATAATTAGTGGTGGTCTGTAATTTTTCAATTGCTTGTTACTTCTGCTAGCTATAACAATGATGCATAGGGAAGTCTCAAGCTTTTAATTGTATTCTGCATATTGTTATCAGCTTAAAAAATGTATTTTTCTTTTTTCTTTTGGTTAATCTTTGCTGTTTTATAAACAAGAACTCTTTATCCATGTATACTCCAAGCTAATTGCTGTTGCAAATGCAGTTGGAGGATATAATCAGCAATAATGAGACCACATGGCATAGTTTTGGTTTTTTTAAATTTTTAAAATTTTTTAAGTCTTAGGACTGGAGGTAATAAGAAAAAGAAGTGAGCTTCTGTTTTTTTGGTTTGTTTTTTTTACTCCACTTTTCCATGCCGTTCTGTCCTTTACTGCCTGGTTGAAATTATAGTCACTCTGTAAATGAGGCACCCTTTCATGACTGCCATCAGAACTGAGCCTATAAAGCTCGGGAAGGCCATGTCAGCCCTCCACCCTCCCAAGTTAACTGCATTCATCATAACCTGCTCAGAAGATGCAGGGATGAGAATTCTATTTTCTTCATGGTTAGTTTCTGCTTATTGAATTGCCCAGTTTCATGGAAATTGTGGAGGGTGGTATGTAAACATTATAACAGGAGCCATCTGGGTTCTTCCACTGAGTGAGTTAGTACAGGATACTAATAAAACCGAAAACAGCTTTGGACTCTAAAAGAGTCAGTGAGCATTTTTCTCGGTCATAGCAACAAACTGGGTCTTGCATCCAAACTGCCACATCACCAGAATATGTCATTGTTACAATGACAAGGTGAAACAATGTATGACTGTCAACCTAAATGTATTAACCCTGATGAAAGGCAAGACACACAATCTTGAAGTACAGGACCTGCTGATCTGGGTTGATCCCATCAGCTATCCATTTGAAGAACTTGATCATGAGTTACACAGACAACTTGGCTTAGAGATACCAGGAGATTGTGTTTGTACAGTCTGAAAAGATGTAGCCTACTTCTAATTTTAATTGCAATGTGAAATTTCGAAATGCTGTTCCTGTTTTTCCTACTTTAGACTAGTGTCCTTCTAAGTATGGTTTGTCCATACTACCTAGTTCAGGGACACGCGTCCCAGAGTCCAGGCCCTTTTGCCATTTCAGGTTTGGCAGAAAGGTAGAATAGGGTGTTATGTTGGACTTACAGCTAGGATGTTTCCAGTGGGATATCAAGGGTTAGGTTCTACTGGGCTGTGGGTTCTGTCCTTCTCGAAGCTGTGTTTAGGTGCTGGTTGTGCTGTGTGAAACAGAGAAGAAGCAAAAAAGACACCTACATTTATAGCCTCAGCTTTTTGAGCACAAGCCAGAAAACCAAATCCACATTCCTCAAGTACAGGGTATAGAGGGCAGCATCTTATATGATAGTGCTTGGTAGAAGTCTATTAATACAAACACTAATTTTTTAATGAACTCTAACTATGATTAGTTTATCATCACATATAGAATTACTCAACAGATTTGCTCTTTAGATCCTGAGTAAACCACCACTTCTAGGTATATCTTAGAAATTAATCATTGAATTTTATCATAATTAGATTGAATATCAGTAAGGTATAAGAAAAAAAAATAACCTCATGTTAACAATAATATAAACTTTGTATTTGGATTATAGTATTATTGCATTGATTTCATACCATTTTGGATTTATGGGGTGAGAATTTAATTTACAAATTGTAATTTGACTTTTCACATCAACAAGTTTAATGATCTAATGGTTATCTGTTTCTCTTACCTGGTATTTCCTGTTACAGGAAGCATCCCAGCTATCTGGACTCCCTGAGTATGTTAAAATAGTAGAAGTTGGACCTAGGGATGGATTGCAGAATGAAAAGGTAGTTTGATATCAATTTTGCACGATTTATTTTAATTGCTAAATTAAACATTAAAATTTGTTAAGATTCTAAAGATTTACATGGATTTTGTATGTTGCCCTATTATAGTTATTCTCAATTGCTAGTTGAATTTATAAATCTTAACTAGGATTTGCTTTCAGTTAGGAACTCATTTTCTGTTTATGTTTCAATAGACCCTATACAAATTAGTTATAAAATAACTTTCAATGTTTTTCTAGGTTATAGTTCCTACAGATATCAAAATTGAATTTATCAATCAACTTTCCCAAACTGGCTTGTCTGTAATAGAAGTCACCAGCTTTGTGTCTTCCAGATGGGTGCCACAGGTATGTAAATCCATAATTCTGTAATTAGATCCTCAATTTGGCTTTGCTAGAAATGAGAAAATAATGTGATATACATTGTGATATAATTACTATTTTGCTGTGTTATTATAAAATTTTAACCCATGCACTGAGTTAACATTAAAGAAAAACCCCTTTGATGATATATCTTATATCAGTTAAGTCCTAAGAAGTTATTTAGAATTCCACCTTAATCCTACTTGAGTATATGGTCCAACATAATGAGCAAAGGGTAAGACTTATCCCTGACATCTTTTCAACACCACTAAGTTTAAAGTTCCTCCAGATTCTGCTTTCAGTAATTTTCCCTACCCATGCTCGTTTTGCCTACATTAATAGTCACTTCAAAGAGGATGACAAATCTGTGTTTCTAGTCCTCCCATCTCTGATAAGCTTCAGATAGATGTACTACCAGCACCTTAAATCAGTGGGTTCAAAATTGAACTCAGTATTGTCTATCCAACCTTACGCTAATAGCTCAACTGTTCTCTTTTAAATCTTGGACTTCAATGCTCAATGGGTTGTTTCCTTTATCTAGTTAGCGAGTGACTTATACAAATTCTTATTTCTTGATAAAGCATATACCTATCTCTCCTTTTCAGTCCCATTGATAAATTAGTAGTCCATACCCTTATTGACTAATTATTGTGATAGTCCTTTAAATGATATCCATAAGCACAGTTTCTTTTTCATTTCCTTATATATTTTTCCACTGCTTCTAAAATAATCTCCCAGAAATTTCAGTCTTCTCAAGTTTCTTTAGAGGTTCCCTCCTCCCCATTGAAAAAGTCTGGAAACTTTGGCCTGGTATTCAAAGCTTCCTATATCTGGGCCTTTTTTTTCCTTTCCAGACTTAACTCTATTTTTCTACTTAATTTTGATGAAGCCCTGCCAAGCCAAAAAGCTTTTTGTTTTCTATTTTTATGTCTTGCCTCTTTGGCTTTGTAGCACTTTATCAATACTTGCTTATGTACATCTTAGTTTCTGCATCGCTCTGAAGTTGTAAGAGAGTGATATGGAAAGTCTTAAAATATTAAAGCCTTTTTACTTTTTATTCATTAATTTGTTTTTGTTGCAGATATTTCACATTTTTTCCCCATTGACACCCTCCTCCTCTTCTTCCCCGCCCCATCCCCAGCTTTGTTGTCTATGTTCATTGGTTGTACATACATGAATGCAAGTTCTGTCATTTATCTCTTCTCCCACAAACATCCCCTTCCTCTGAGGCTTGTCAGCCTGTACCCCACCTTCATGTCTTTGGGCTAATTTTGGTCAGCAGTTTGTTTAGTTCATTATTTCCACAAATAAGTGAGATCACGTGATATTGGTCTTTCTCTGCTTGGCTTGTTTCGCTTAGCAAAGTCCTGTCCAGGTCTTTCCATGTCATCACAAAGAATAAGAGATCATTCTTTCTTACAGCTGCATAGTATTCCATTGTGTACATGTACCACAGCTTTTTAATCCACTCATCTACTGATGAACACTTGGGTTGTTTCCAGATCTTAGCAATTGTAAATAGTGCTGCTATGAGCATAGGTGTACATATATTCTTTCTGATTGGTGTTTCAGGTTTCTTAGGGTATATTCCTAGGAGTGGGATCACTCGGTCAAATGGCAGTTCAATTTTTAACTTTTTGAGGTAACACCATAGTGTTTTCCACAGTGGCAGCATCAGTCTGCATTCCCACCAGTAGTGTACTAGAGTCCCCTTATCTCCACACCCTCACCAGCACTTGTTTGATGATTTGTTGATGGTGGCCATTCTGACAGGTGTGGGGTGATAATTCATAGTTGCTTTAATTTGCATCTCTCTGATGATTAGTGATGTAGAGCATTTCTTTATATGTCACTTGGCCATTTGTATGTCCTTTTTGGAGAGGTGTCTATTTAGGTCCTATGCCCATTTTTTAATTGGGTTCTTTGTCTTCTTTTTGTTGAGTTGTATGAACACTCTATATATTTTGGAAACTAACCCCTTATCTGATGCATCATTGGCGATTATGGTTTTCCATATAGCAGGATCCCTTTACGTTTTGATGGTTGTTTCTTTTGCTGTGCAGAAGCTTTTAAGTTTGATGTAGTCCCATGTGTTAATTTTTCCCTTTGTTTCTCTTGCCTTAGGTGTTGTATCAGTGAAAATTCTGCTGCGTATGATGTCTGAAATTTTGTTGCCTACATTTTCTTCTAGAATTTTATGGATTCATGAGTTACATTTAAGTCTTTTATCCATTTTGAATTTATTCTGGTGTATAGTGTAAGTTGGTGTTCTAGCTTCATTTTTTTGCAGGTAGCTGTCCAATTTCCCCAACACCATCTATTGAAGAGACTGTCTTGACTCCACTGTATGCTCTTGCCACCTTTGTCAAATATTAATTGAGCATGTTGTCTTGGGTTAATTTCTGGGTTCTCTGTTCTGTTCCATGGATCTATCTGCCTGTTCTTGTGCCAGTACCAGGCTGTCTTGATTATAGTGGCTTTGTAGTATAACCTGAAATCTGGTAATGTGATCCCTCCTACTTTGTTCTTTTTCAAGATTGCTGTGGCTATCAAGGTCTTTTTTGGTTCCATATAAACTTTTGGAGTGTTTGTTCTAGTTCTGTGAAGTATGTCGTTGGTATTTTGATGAGGATTGCATTGAACCTATAGATTGCTTTGGGTAGTATGGACATTTTAATGATGTTAATTCTTCCAATCCATGAACAAGGTATATGCTTCTACTTTTTTATATCTTTCTCTATTTCTTTTTTCAATAACCTGTAGTTTTTTGTGAAAAGGTCTTTCTTTGGTTAAGTTTATTCCTAGATATTTTTTTTTCTGCAATGGTAAACAGGATTGTCTTTTTAGTTTCTCTTTCTGTGAGTTCATTATCAGTGTATAAAAATGCCATTGATTTCTTGATGTTAATTTTGTATCCTGCTACTTTGCCAAATTCATTTATTAAGTCTAGTAGATTTTTGATGGAGACTTTAGGATTTTCTATGTATAATATCATGTCATCTGCAAATCCTCTTTTCCAGTTTGCATCACCTTTATTTTTTCTTCATGTCTAATTGCTATGGCTAAGATTTCCAGTACTATGTTAAATAAGAGTGGTAAAAGTGGGCATCCCTGTCTTGTTCTCGTTCTTAAAGGGAATGCTTTATTTTTTGCACATTGAGTATGATGTTGGCTGTAGGTCTTTCATATATGGCCTTTATTATGTCGAGATATGATCCCTCTATTCCCACATTGCTGAGAGTTTTTATCAGAAATGGGTGCTGGATTTTGTCGAATGCTTTTTCAGCATCTATTGATATGATCATATGGTTTTTATCTTTCTTTTGGTTTATGTAGTGTATCATATTTATTTATTTGCAAATATTGTACTATTCTTGCATGCCTAGGATGAATCCCACTTGGTCATGGTGAATAATTTTTTGATGTATTGCTGGATCTGATTTGCTAATATTTTGTTAAGAATTTTGGCACCTATGTTTATCAGGGATATTGGCCTGTAGTTTTCATTCTTTGTAGTGTCTTTTTCTGGTTTTGGAATTAGGATAATGCTGGCCTCATAAAATGAGTTTGGCAGTGTTTCATCTTCTTGGTTTTTTTGGAATTATTTCAGGAGAATGGGTATTAGATCTTCTTTGAATGTTCAGTAAAACTCCCCTATGAAACTATCTTGGCTTGGGCTTTTGTTTGCTGGGAGTTTCTTGATTACATCCTCAAATTTTGTTGTTGTTATTGGTATGTTCAAGTTTTCTATTTTTCCCTGGATCAGTTTGGCAGGTTATGTGTTTCTAGAAACTTATCCATTTCTCTTAGATTGTCCAATTTGTTGGCGTATAATTGTTTCAATGATCCTTTATTTCAGGTGTCAGTTGTTACTTCTCTTTCATTTCTGATTTTGTTTATTTGGTTTCTCTCTTTTTGTTTCTTGGTGAGTCGGGCTAAAGGTCCATTGATCTTGTTTATCTTTTCAAAGAAGCAGCTTTTTGTTTCATTGATTTTTTTTTTTTTTTTATCCTCACACAAGGACATTTTTCCATTTTTTATTCAGATAGAGTGGGAAGGAGAGATAGAGAGAGAGAAACATCAACGTGAAAGGGACACATCGAGTGGCTGCCACCCACACAACCAACCAGTGCTAGGGAACCAAACCCGGGTCTCTCTGGACCGCAGGCCGATGCTCTAACCACTGAGCAAAACCGGAAATGGCTCATTGATCTTTTGCATTGTTTTTTTTAGTCTCTATGTTGTTTATTTCTGCTCTGACATTTACTATTTCTTTCCTTCTACTAGCTCTGGGTTTTTCTTTTTGTTTACTTTCTAGTTCTTTAAGTTGTAGGGTTAGAAAGTCAATTAGGAATTTTTCTTGTTTCTTGAGGTAAGCCTATAGTGCTATGAACTTTCCTCTCAGGACTGCTTTCGCTGTGTCCCATAGATTTTGTGTTGTTATGTGTTCATTTTCATTGGTTTCCAGGAAGTTTTTAATTTCTTCTCGATCTTATTAGTAACTCATTTGTTGTTTTATCATATGCTATTTAGCCTTCAAGTGTTTGAATATTTATGTGTGTTTTTATTGAAATTGAGTTCTAGTTTCATGCCACTGTGATCTGTGAAAATGCTTGATATGATTTCAATCTTCTGGAATTTTAGAGACTTGGTTTGTGTCCTAACATTTGGTCTGTCTTTGATAATGACCCATTTGCACTTCAGAATAATGTATATTCTGCAGCTTTGGGGTGAAATATTCTGAAAATATCAATGACGTCCAACTGATCTAGTTCGTCTTGTAAGGACTCTATGTCCTTGTTAATTTTTTGTCTAGAAGATCTATCCAATGGTGTCAATGGTGTGTTAAAGTCAACCACTATGATCGTGTTGCTATTGATCTCTCCCTTGAAGCCCTCCAGAAGTTTTTAAATATATTTTGGTGCTGCCATAGTTGGTGTGTATATGTTTACCAGGGTTATATCCTCTTGTTGGATTGATCCTTT